AAGAGCATTCAAGACTGTAGAATACGAGGGATTTTAGACTACGCAATGGGGAAACCCGAGCAAATTGCAGCACGTTTATTGTTAAACGAAAAACCAAAATTCTACGATGCAGCATATCCATTATTATACTCAAATTATATGAACACGATTTAAAATTAAAAAACAAAAAAAAACAAACAAAAAAACAAAAAAAAACACCAAAAAAAAAAACAAAAAGAATGCATATATATTGATTTAGGGAATGACAAAACATTTTGTACAGATACTGCAAACTCCAGAAACAATTTGCATATCAACACTCAAACTAACAATTATTCAAACATTTAGTCCATGTACACACATCAATGAAATAAAACAAAACACAAGCCCTCAACAATCCCTCACAATTCGTACACACACTCACACACACTCAACGCACGCACTTTCACTCCCCTCTGTACTATTCCTTCCCCAAGTAATTGGTAATTAAAATCACCCCCACACAGAGTGCTTCAAAGTGTGTGTGTGTGAGAGAGAGTCTAAGAAAGAGATGAAGCTAGATTACTACTATCAATTTCAATTAATGACTCACAAATTAAAATAATTCAAAGCTTCAGGTATCAACTTTTGTGATGTGTAAAAACGCAGGCAACAGAGAATTAATCATAGCTTGAGATTTGAAATTCAAAGACAGAGAAAACAAAAGCAGCTAAAACAATTAACAAAAATTTCACACAGATTACACAAAATAATACAAACAAAACACAAAAAAATCATGAAAGGGGTTACCTTTTCGACGGCGGTGCGGCTGCGTAGCGGATGGTGGAGAATTTGGCTTGCGCTTTTTCTTTCTCTTCATTGTCGGAGCCAGATCTGGCGAGAGAGAGTAAGAAAGAGGAAGAAAGAGGGGGAGATGAGCCAGATCTGGCGAGAGAGTAAGAAAGAGGGGGAGATGAAGACAGAGGGAGAAACGGCGGTGATTGAAACGTGTGGGTAAAGAGAGAGATTAGGGCATATATTAGATTTAAAACTAAAAGGGTAAAATGGGTATTTCAAATTGTCCAGGGGGGTCTCACTAATTAAGATCAAAATTTGGGTTTTTGACTAGAGCTGAAAATTTTATTGAACCTCCTCATATATATTTTTAAAACAAGGGGGTTATCACTAATTTCCCCATTAAAATAAGTTGATGAAACAACCATGGGGAATATTTACATTTCAAAAATATATTTATATTATTATAAAAACACACAAAAGGGACGCTCTTTATAAAGGGTAAAAACGTAAAAGAACATACAAGAAGAATCGAGATGCTGACGAAAAATTAGGCGTATTTAAACCAACACTAATCAGTTTTACAGTTGTAATTTGTTAAAATTCAGTTTTACTTTCTTTCCAAATTGTTTACGTTTTCAAATTCTCTGAAAAAAACTCATCAACGGTGAAACGCGCGCGGAAATGGAGGTGAAACCCTCAGCGATGGACAACGACTACGAGATTGCATTCAAACTCCAGTTCGACGAAGTTTTAGAAGGGGATAATTACACTTTTGGTCCCTCATGTTTGGCCCGATTTCACTTTTGGTCCCCCTTGTTCCAAGTGAACAAAGTTCACCTCCAAGTTTCAATTTTAAACAGTTTTGGTCCATGCCGTTAAATTTCCGTTAGCAAGCAACGGAAAACACTATTTTGGGGTGAAAATTGAAATTTTAAATTTTTTGGGTCTGAAAAATAATTACAAATTAATAATAATTAAAAAAAAATTAACCAAACAAATTATTTTTTATTATACTTAATATTATTATAATTATACTACTTATAATTAAATTTTTAATAATAAAAAAATTAACTAAACAAATTATTTTTAATCATACTTAATATTACTTTTAATTATACTACTTATGATAAAAAAATTAATAACAAAAACATTAATTAACTAAACAAATTATTTTTTATTATACTTAATATTATTATAATTATACTACTTATAATTAAATTTTTAGTGATAATTTTTTTTCCACTATGATAAAACATTTTGGGGCCTCGTTGGTAATAAAAAAATCCGAAGCGACCCTATCGATTCTTTTGTTTTTAATAATAAAAAAGAAATTAATTAAATAAATGATTGTGAATTATGCTAATATAGTTTTAATTATACTACTTATGATTATTTTTTTAATAATAAAAAAGTAATTAAATAAATTTCATTATGCTTAGTATTATTATAAATTTAATTATAAGTAGTCTATTTTTAATTTATAATTATTTTTCAGCCCCAAAAAAATTTAAAATTTCAATTTTCACCCCAAAATAGTGTTTTCCGTTATTTGCTAATGGACATGTAACGGCAGGGACCTAAAGTGTTTAAAATTGAAACTTGGAGGTGAACTTTGTTCACTTTGGAACAAGGGGGACCAAAAGTGAAATCGGACCAAACATGAGGGACCAAAAGTGTAATTATCCCATTTTAGAAGAATCCGCCATTGACAGCGCCGCCACGTCTTCGCCGGAAAATGCCGATTCTGTTCCGGACGGCGGCACTCCGTCGAAGATACTCGAGGAGGAACTTCTCGAACACTACAGACTGGAGACGAGCATGAAGGCTATGCGGCTTGATATCAGCCGCGAAATGCACGATCGAGCATTTGCGTTCGAACTGAGCAATCTCCCGGAGGAACACCGGAAGAAAACGGGGGAAAACTTCAACCGTCCGCACGGCGAAGTGTCTACTCCTCAGTAATGGGCGTTTTGTATTTGCGTCAAGGGTTTGGCCGACGAAACGGTCGGCGGGATTGGAGTGGCAATACTTGACGGGAGTAATACTTTGGTATTTGAATTGGGAAAAACATTCGATTGGAATGGAGCAGAAACGAATTACAAAGTTATAGAGTTGAAAGCATTAATCGAGGGGCTTGAAATCGCTGTTAGTCTGGAATTGCGCACAATTACAATAGTTAGCGACAACCCCTGCATCTTTGGACATGTAAGATATCTTATTCAAATTTTATGGATTATCGGTTTAATTTCTGGGGTTTAATTTCTGGATTACCAGATTAATTTTGGGGGTTTTCTAGGTTTTACTTTTTGGGGATTAATTTCTGGATTATCGGTTTTATTTGGGATTTTTTATCTGAGATATTGCTCATTAGATTAGTAAACCCTACTTATTATCACGGACTTGTTCCCTTAACAACGAACCGTGCGGCCTTAGCTCCTTCTCACCCCTCGCGATAGCTAAGTCAGCCTCTCCCGAATGTGTTGCGAATTCTAAGTGATGGAAAACGAAAGAAGAACGTAAGAAGATAAGAGAGTTTGTATAAAAGTACTTTATTGCTTAAGTGCTTGTTGGATTTCTTGGATGATTACACATGAGGATCTTACCTCTATTTATACAAGTCCACCTCCTCAATGGACGGTGAAGATCTATTCGATCTAACGGTTGGGAGTGGTTCTCTAGAACACTCCAAAGAATTCCTAAAATATCTCTATCTACCTCTAGCTACCTCCACCTATCTCTATACATTTGGGCCAACTTGGGCCTAACCCTATTTGGGCTAAATCTTGGTCTTCTTAACCTCCCCAACCCAAGGGAAACTGGCAAGGGGTTGGGTCAAAACTAGCGGGTCGTGACATCCTCCCCCGCCCAATCCGGCAACGTCCTCGTTGCCTCGAACAAGTGGAGACGATCTTGAAATTGCCACAAGTCTTCCTTCGTCTCCCACGTTGCCTCGGACTCGGGTAATCCCATCCATTTGATGAGGTATTGGATACTCGGTGGAACTCCCCTACGTCGCTTCAATTGTCGGCCTAGCACTTCCTCGATCTCCTTATCGTACGACTTAGTCATGATGGGTGGTGCTCGGTGCGACTTTCCTCGGCTGGGGTCTTCCTTGTCTTTGTGATAAGGCTTCAACATACTCACATGGAAAACCGGGTGGATTTCTAAAGAACTTGGAAGTTCTAGGCGATACGAAACTTTACCAACCTTGGCGATCACCGGGAATGGTCCTTCGTACCTTCGCACAAGTTCCTTGTGCGTGCTCCTCAACGCCTTGAATTGTTGGGGTAATAATTTCACCATCACTTGGGCCCCAACGTCGAACTCCCGTGGTCGCCGTTTGTCGTCCGCCTATTTTTTCATTCGTCGCCTAGCCTTCTCAAGGCACGCCCGGGCTAAGTCGGCTTGTTCCTCCCACGATTTAGCCATCTTCAATGCTCCGGGACTTGTTCCATCTGTTGCCGTAGCCAAAGTGTGCGGCGTAAGTGGCTGTTGTCCCGTTGCAAGCTCGAATGGACTCCTCCCCGTGGCTTCACTCCGCTGCAAGTTGTAAGAGAACTGAGCCACGTCGAGAAGCTTCGCCCAATCTTTTTGATTGGCTCCCACGAAGTGCCGTAAGTAGCACTCGAGTAGGGCGTTCACTCTCTCCGTTTGCCTGTCGGTTTGGGGGTGAAAACTCGTCGAGAAGCAAAGCTCGGACCCCAAAAGTTTGAAAAGCTCCGTCCATAATCGCCCCGTGAAGCGTGGGTCTCGGTCGCTTATGATGCTCATCGGTAGTCCCCAATACTTGACGACGTTCTTGAAAAAGAACCGGGCTGCCTCCTCCGCGGTGCAATCCCTCGGGCAAGCTACGAACGTCACATATTTTGAAAAACGATCTATCACCACCATGATAGATCCGGGCCCCTCGGACGTCAGCAAGACACTAATGAAGTCCATTGAGATCGACTCCCATGGTCGCTCGGGGATTGGGAGTGGCTCAAGTAACCCTGCCGGCTGTTTATTCTCTACCCTGTCTTGTTGGCACACAAGGCAAGTCTTTACATATGCGTCGACACTGTCCCGCATGTGAGGCCAAAAGTAGGCCGTCTCGAGCAACGCCATTGTCCGCCTTTGGCCCGGATGCCCCGCCCACTTGGTGTCGTGGCATTCCCCTATGAGGTCCTTCCTCAAGCTGCCCCACTTCGGAACGAAGAGTCGCTGCCCCTTTGTGTAGAGTATGCCGTCCTCTACCCAAAATCGCCTCGTCTTGCCCTCCTTGACGAGTCGGATTAGCTCATTGGCCATGGGATCATGTTCGAGCCCTTCTCGGATCATGTCGACCAAGTTCCCCCTTGTCGAGCTAATGGCTGCGAGTTCGGCCTTTCTACTCAATGCGTCGGCCACAACATTCGCCTTTCCCGGTTTGTACTCCAACTCGTTGGCATGATCCACCTCCCTCCTAGGTGGAAGTTTGTCGGGTAAAGTCGGTGGCATCACGTCTTGGTTGACCTCCAAGACGGTTTGGATGATCGGTGGCACGTCCTCCTCTTTGTTGACGGGTGGGTTGTCCTCCTTTAAAGCGACTAAAAATGTCGGCTCGGCCCGTCGAACTCCCTTGGCAACTTGTATGGCCGACAGTTGCCTTGGTTGCGTGCTTTATTCCTTAGTGGGGCTGTTGGTGGCCGGCACCATGCAAGGTGTCCCCTTCTCTAAGATACAAACTGAATTAAAACAAGGCATCGGGATAGCCATTACCTTGCGGAAGAAATCCATGCCTAGCACCACCTTGAAGTCATCCATCGGTGCTACCAAAAAATCCACTTGGCCCTTCCAAGTGCCTAAGTGTAGCTCCGCGTCTCGTGCTACACCGTTGAGCGGTTGTGCCTTTTTGCACAAGGCCAAGTCGTCGCGCATCCCCTCGATGCTCTCTTGGAGGGATTGGATGATGGCCTCCAATCGATCCAACCGTTCCTCCCGCAACGTCTCATTGTCTCGAAACAAATCGAGTTGCTCGGCAACGTGATTCTCCAACACTTCCGTATCGTGCTCGAGCTTTTCGAATCGTTCGCTAAGCTCCGCTATGGCGACGTTATTCTTGAGCCTCTCGAGTCTTTCACCATGATCCATTAGCACGGCCTCATTAACGGTACTCTCCCCACGAGCCTTGCTGTGGTCCCTCTTCTTCTTGTTGTTTACTTGGGCCTCCCTACCACGTCCCTCGATTACGTACGAAATATCTTCAACGTTCGCCATCGTTGAGATAGCTAAGTCAGTCTCTCCCGAATGTGTTGCGAATTCTAAGTGATAGAAAACGAAAGAAGGCGAATTCTAAGTGATGGAAAACGAAAGAAGAACGTAAGAAGAGAAGAGAGTTTGTATGAAAGTACTTTATTGCTTAAGTGCTTGTTGGATTTTTTGGATGATTACAAATGAGGATCATACCTCTATTTATACAAGTCCACCTCCTCAATGGACGGTGAAAATCTATTCGATCTAACGGTTGGGAGTGGTTCTCTAGAACACTCCAAAGAATTAATAAAATATCTCTACCTACCTCTACCTACCTCCACCTACCTCTATACATTTGGGTCAACTTGGCCCTAACCGTATTTGGGCTAAATCTTGGTCTTCTTAACCTCCCCAACCCAAGGGAAACTGGCAAGGGGTTGGGTCAAAACTAGCAGATCGTGACATTATGCTCATCTTTTGGGGATTTATTGCTTGCCGCTTTCTCTTTATGCCAGTGGTCCATTGGATTTGTTTGAGTGATTAATTCATTGCCAGAGAAAGAATTTTGGGCCCTTTTCGTTTTCCTTTCTCTCTTTTCTTATTTTGATTGTGTAATCCTAATATCATCTCTAAGTGAGTTGAGGGTTTTTTGTTTCTATGTGGGATGGCATGGGATTTATACGGGGTGAAATTCACCGGGTACACATTGGTGTTTTTAGATCAATCTTGATTTTTGGCATTCTTGATTTACGGCATCATAATAAAACCTTTGATTTATGGGATTCTTGAATTATGGGATTCATCTAATCAGATTATTGTAGCTCCAATCACAGAGTATTCACTGCCTCTAGAGTACTGTTGGTGCTAAATTTATTGTAGCTCTGTGATTACGTGATCGGTTGGTGCTAAATTCAATTTCTGGAATACTTTTTGGTATATGTTATTGGTTTTATATTGACTCTCTTCATTCTGTTTTTTTTTTTCTCTTTTCTTTTACAATGTCCGTAGAAGAGTTTGCAAACTTAGTGTTATTCTATTCACTGTCCTGTCATGGTTCAAGAAACCAGTGCCTCTCCTTGTTTATTGCTTGCTTATCTGCTCTTTGGATTTGTTTTTGCAGATCACCGGCACAAGGTTGTTCGACATTAAGACATTATCTGACCAGATCGAGCTTCTCCTAAGAAGATTTACTGCTTTTGGTGTCATTTTTGCGGAGCATGCACAGATGGAACCAGTTTCTAATATCGCAAGGAAGGCAATTCATGCTTGGGGAGGGAGTAGAAACGTCAATGTCGGGACTGAGTCATGTTCCATATGTTTGGAAGCTGCATGTTTAAACCTTTTTTATGAAATTCCCCCGTGCTTGCATAGATATTGTAAACAGTGTTTGTCAAAGCACGTACAATTCAAACTTCTTCAAGGTTTACTCCCGAAGTGTCCGTATGAAGATTGCAGTTCAGAACTCAAGATTTATGATTGCCAAAAGTTTTTAAATGACGACTGGGTTGAAATAATGAAGGATAGGTTGAAGGAGGCTGCCATTCCACCGAAAGAAAAATTGTACTGTCCCTACAGTACATGCTCCACCCTTCTTTCAATGAGTGAAATTCGGTCTCAAAAACAACTTCGACAATCATCAGCCAGTTCGTCTAACGATGCCGGGCAGTCTGGTGCTATAGAATGCCCCAACTACTTTTGCTCGAGTTGTAAGGTCCCTTGGCATGACAATTTATCGCGTTCCGAGTTCAAAGAATTGGATCAAGTCACAGAAGCAGATGAAAAGTTACAAGCTCTGGCAACACAAAAAATGTGGCGGCAAATTCCTAATAATAATAATTAAAAATAAAAAATAAAAAATTATTACTATTTTATCTCGTGGTATTTCAAATAAAATAGGAAAACTCAATTTTGTGAGCCGCAATTAGGACTTGTCAAACTACTGGTATAAGTACCTCTGCTGGCCCTACAATAAAGTAAAAGTAAAAAGTGAAAAACAAAATAACTGTTACACCTAATTATTATTATTTAAGGTGCAAAATAACAAATTAAATTTTTATATTCTTCTACCCTCCAACCTAATTTTGAGCATTCAAAGTGCGAAACAAAACTACACAAGAGTTACTTAGAAATTATATTTAAATTTCTCTACATTTTCGTAATAAAATATAATTTTCAAATAACAAAGAAGCGCTCAATGCCTCTCGTCTCTACGGCGCCGTTTCCCCTACAAAATCCGCTGCGGCGGAGGCGGAGGCCAAACGGTGGCAGCTCGATCTCAGCATTCAGATACACGACCGCTCTCTCGCTTGCGAGATTCTGAGTATGCCGGAGGACAAGTGGTGCGAAATTGGGAATAATTTGAACAGGCCGTACGGGGAGGGTTCCTCCTCCTCCTCCAATCAGCACCAAGCTTGCGGATTTAGGTCCAATCAGCAATTTTTCGGATGTAGGGTTTACGTCAAGGGTTTGATTGATGGGTTGGCAGGTGGTATTGGGGTGGCGATATGCGATTCCATCGGTAATTTGTTGTTTGAATTGGGTAAAACTTTCAGTGGGGAAGACCGCCAATGGAATGCACTTTGCGTTGAGATGAAAGCTTTGATTGAAGGCCTCTCCATCGCTGTAATGCTGGGCTTAAACAGGGTCACCATTCTTACAGACAACAACTTACTCTATCTCCATGTAAGCCCTCTTTTCCGTTAGGAAATTTCTATTAATTTAGATAATTATTGAGTTAATAATTTAACACCGGGAATTTATATATATTCATTCAATTTCGAACACAACCCTTTTCTGCGACATAGTTTTGATGTTTTCCACACTTTTTTCTTCTTCTCTATATGTAGATTTTTAGAGAGTTCGAGATTATGGTGAAGTCAAATGTCGCCACATTATCCGACGAAATAAAGCTTCTTCTCAGAAAATTAACTCAACCTTGTGCAACTCTCGTTCCCGAAAAGGACTTGGAACTTGCTTCGGCAATTGCAAGGAATGCAATGGCTTTTAACGTCAACCGAATCAGCTGTTCTATCTGTTTTGAAGATACATATATGAATCAAATGTTCCAAATCTCATACTGTCTGCATAGCTACTGCGTTTCTTGTATGTTGAAACACGTCGAGTTTAAGTTGCTTCAAGGGACTCTACCCAGATGCCCTCACGTGTATTGCAACTCCGAGTTGAAACTCGATAGTTGCAAGAAGTTTTTGACTTCGGAATTATCTGATTTAATGAACCAACGCTTGAAAGAAGCATCCATCCCCGTAGAAGAGAGGATTTATTGCCCCTGCCCTACGTGCTCTACTCTGTTGTCGATAACTGAGCTTCAAACGTTCATCGGTAGTTCAGATTTCGTTGATGACGAGTTGGGTGCCAGAAAGTGCCCCAAGTGCAGTGGCATCTTTTGCGTCAAATGCAAAGTCCCGTGGCATGGTAATATGAGTTGCCGTGATTTTCTAAGGCTAAATCCCATTCCACGCGAGGAAGAAGACAACAAACTGAAGTCTTTGGCTACTCAGAATCTCTGGCGTCAGTGTCCAAAATGCAATCATATGGTTTCACTTGCTGAAGGATGCTACCATATTACCTGCAGGTACACCTCCTTTTTAATTTCTCGAGTACGCGATTGTTTAACATGTTCTTGGAATCTATTTTTTGCCATGTAAATATCTAACATGTACACTTGCTACTTTCGGTTTAATCCTTCTTTTATGGCCTTCCAAGCTTCTAAATTTGGCTACTAAAAAAAAAGAAAAATCCTCTGTTCATTTATAGTTGGTAATTGCTTTATTAGCTTCTAAACGATTACGATTCAATTATACAGTTCATATGATGTAGTCATCATTCCTCCAAGGAAACTCGCTTACATCTTACGGCATCTTAGTTTTCTCCTTTTCACATGCATCTCTGGTCTGATGGTTCGTTAAAATGTTTATGCAGATGTCGACACGAGTTTTGTTATACGTGTGGAGCTGAATGGAAAAATAGGAGAAGTAGTTGCACTTGTCCTCTTTGGGATGAACGCAATATTGTATATGATAGGCGGAACCCAATCCCACGAAGATGATCGTGTATGCTCTCAGTGTCTAGCATGGTTATAGGATGATGAAAAACCTCAATTTTAGAGTTTTTTATTTATATCTTGCAATATTTAATTTTTTTTCTTCTAGTTTATGATTTTGGTAATAACTACGGAGGTTATTTATTAGTCAAATATTCGCTCTTCTTTCCTGCTTGTGTTTGTAATTTCGGCAAATGGCAAATAGACCCAAGACAACGGCAGTTAATTAAAAAAATGGGCACTTAACTAAGACAACACCAAAATCTAGAGCACCGGGGCAACAAAATGTGCATTCAAATTAATTGCAGTACTCTGTAACGAGTCATGAATTGTCGACTAGCTTCACAGCCAGGCTGGGCAGAATTGCGGTGGCACCACCATCGATAACGACAATCTCGCCTTCCTTCCAGCATGTCGTCTCCAACTTCACCCTGAAAATAAAACGAGTAAATAAAAAACCCAAGTTTTATTACAGCTGAATAAAGGAAAGTTGGAAACTCACATGAACTTGTGTTTGATTTGTCTGATGTTGCTTGCCTGCACTCGACAAGTGATCACGTCTCCAACGAATACCGGAGCCTTAAAATCCAGACTTTGCTTCACGTAAACAGCACCTGGCTACACACACCCCAAAGAACAATGAATTCTTACGAACAACATATGCGCGTGTGTGCGCGTGTGTTAATATATGTGCTTACGAAATGGGAAGCGATGATTTTGGGGAACAAGGAAGCAACAAGCATTCCGGGGACAGGAACATCTGCGAAACCCGATTTTCTGGCGCAATCCAAATCGAAGTGCAGAGGATTGAAGTCATGTGTCAGCTTCGAGTATTCGGTGATGTCTGATTTTGAAAATGTTCTGGTTTGCTTCAGAACGTCCCCCGCCCTGAGTACGCCGGCCGATGATGCCGACGAAGAACAGTGTTTCAAAGAAGAAACGAAGTTCCACAATGGCTGTTTCATCACCGCCGCAGTTGAGTAGGTTATGGTATGGCGCATTTCGAGGAATAAATTCACCTTCAATTCTGTGAGGAAATTTGTCGAACAGGTGGAGTGCAGAAGGAGAAATAGAGGAAAAGGGAACAGTCAATCGTCCAATTTGAGCGGCAAGGTGTGAATTCAGTTGGAGACGACTGTGTGTACGGCCTACGTCGGCGATGACGCGGTGGACTGGAGGTGGGCAGGTTCTCCGTCAACGAGTGCCGACGCGCGGCGGCGAGTGAGCAACACCGAGCGTTGTGGGGTATTCTTTACTTCGCACTATGAATGGATTGGTTTTTTGTTTTTTTTTTTTTTTTTTTTTTTAATATATATATATATATATATATATATATATATCAATAATGGATTGGGCTTGAATTTGGGCCTAAAGTGAAAATTTGATTAACTGGAATTTACAAGGTTTGATTCTTCAATTTTTTGTTCAATTTATTTTGTTCTTCCTTTTAACTTTTACTACACGAAATTTTTGCGTTTTTAAGGCGGACCATCAAAATGATGCTATACACGATGAAATACACATACAAATGAATATGTGTATAATTAATTACATTCAAATCAATAGTAACAAAATACCCGATATATTTCACTGGGTGTAGCGTCTCAATAACCGTACGGGGCCATCGTTTTCCTTGCATTGCAATTTATTGTTGAATCTTTTTGAATCTTTTCAAGTGTGTATGGTATGAGACATTAAATTCAAAGAATTGATTGTTAACTAACTTTTAAGCAAGTGGACCAGCTCACACTTTTATTTGTTTGAACCTTATATTGTTTGGGTCTTTTAAATGCACATTTTTCATGCTTTTATATAGACTAACATTTGTTAGTTGAATTAACGACCGATCTCAGGAAGATTCGATCTCCAACCGCTAGATCATCCCATACGGAACTTATTGAACTATAACTTAAATATATAGATGAGTGTTCTGCATCAGTGAATTTATAATCCAAGGTCTCTTAATGTAGGCAGTCTTGAAATCTCAAGTGGGATTTAAATATTGAAACTTTGAAAGGAATATACTATATACTCTAAGGTATATCCGAGATTAGTTGTTGATTAAAAACTTTAGTTAATGTATTCAATTGCTTAAAATATTATGAAAGAAAATGAATATCAATTTCAGTTTTTTTTTTATTTTCATTCCGTAACAGTTTCGGTATGGGATAGGCGGATAGCAAATGAAGAAACCAAATACGTACTCGACTACTTTGAAGTTTAAAGAGTCGTGATTGGTGTTAAATATGGGAAAATTGGAGAAAGTCGCCTTGTTAGGTTGCATAATTAGAGATACGGAAAATGCCCTATTTTTTGTTTCTTGTTTCGATTGAAGTCCATGTATTCAATTTTTTTGAAAAAATATATATTTTTCTTAAAGAAAATAACTTTGGTAAAATAGTTCTTGTGATGGCTAAGAGTGTAAAGAAGCCCTAACTTCAGCAAACAACATTGATATTGCATCTAGAAAATCATAGATTACATAACTTATCATTGAGATTTGATTAGTTAACACAAAGTTTAGTTAAATTCATCTACAAAATCTAAAATGCCGAACCCTCTTCAAAATGAACGTTATGCACTCGGGACAGCATTTTCTCAAGTCGCAATTTTAATCTTTTTTAGTGCCTGTCGATTTTTTATTTTTTTTGGGCTTCTCATGAATTCTTGAGAAAAGGAAAAGCCAACAAAGAAGTATTTGTCCTTTAATTACGCGTCATTAAGAGCCATGCTAATGCTAATTGCACCATATTATATTAAAAGTTACTACTTTATACTTTATAGTTTATCCTAGGTAGGCTTCGAACATCCTAGAACGTAGTGCGTTCACATTGCGAAACGCTACTCCATTATGCATCTATATTTTTTAAGTTGTAACACTATTCGTTCTCCGAGCAGATATTGGTTTATGCATCACGAAGTGACGAAGTCGTGTCAGCTCAAACAAAATAACCACATACTAAACACTTAGTAAATGTCAATTGGATTTGGTGCCAATTGGATAGTCAAATCCAGCAACAATTAATGATGAAATAATTTATGAGTTGTAAGGGTAAAATTGGATATCATTTTGTCCCCTCAACTATGGACTATCGCACTTAAACCCCCTTAATTGTTGATTTATAGGACTAGTTTTTTTATTTAATTATGGTTACCCACTTCGGCCCAATAGTAGGTCCACAACACCAGTTGTTTATTTGCTATATACAATACAAAGCCACCACTGAGTTATAGTCAAAATACAAAAACTCACATTTTGTTTGGATAATTACACTCATTCTCTCAACTATGTATTATCTTACAAAAAGACTTCCCCATAGATAAATTTAGGGATGTCAATTCGGTAAAACTGAATCGAAATTTCGGTACGCCAACATTTAACACCGTTTACCGAACTAAATATACAATTTGGTTATGTAAATATCCAAATTACATAAATTTTATGTAAAAATATTTAAAAGGAGGAGGGTGACTGTAACTATCCAGACAAGAGGATTTTTTTCGTAATTTATACATCAGGGGTGACCGTAATTGCCTTACAATACAATAGTACGGAACAAAATTCAATAATTTTTTTAATCAGTAAAAATAAAGAATAAATTGATTTAAGAACTTGGAATAGCATATATTCTAATGCTCACATAAATACATGGTGACACTTTTCCTCTTTCTCCCACCATCAAAAGATTTCTTAAAATAGACAAGAATCACAAGCTATTGGCTCATTTTTAACGAAGGAAAATCAACAAGTCTTATCTTGTAACATACTACACAATATCTACTTTGTTTCTTTTTGTTCTATATTCATTTGATGGGGAAGAAAAGGAATATTGTGATTTTGTGCTTCACTTTTCTTCTTGACTTTTGAACTATCTAGCACGGATACAGAACGCGGACACTGCGAAACGCGGGAAACAAACACGGGAGAACTCCGTTCCAAAAAATTGGATACAAAAATCTAGAGGAAATGTGTAAATAGTAAAAATACAGGGGTACACTTATAATTTCTGAAACATATTATAACGGTTTAACTTTTATACTTATCGTCGATTAGATATTTGTATCTACAAATTATATATTATTTACAAGTTTCAATATGAATTATCATTCCATATATTACATTCGAGGCATATAAATTTATTTTAGTATGAAATCAACATATACTATACAAAAAATATAAACTTAGAAATATTTATGGAAATGACCCCGAAATTTTTCCGATACGTGTCATGAAGTTTTTGTTTGCGAAACCTAGAAATATATATGTGGGTAGAAATTTTCGTTCATCCTAGTTGTTACAAACTCGTATGAGAAGGAGAATTTTCTATCAAACAATAAATATGTAGAATAAATAGAAATTGTCGTTTTAATTACGGCATGATAGTCATAATGAACTACTCACCTAGTCACCTTGAAGGTATCTGATACTCTATCTTAATTATTAACTAGTCAAGGAAAAAAATTAAGGCGTTACTTATTCAACACGATTTATTTGTTGGGTAAATTACACTTTCCCCCTTTATACTTTGACTGGATATCGTTTTATCTCCTAATATTTTCGATTGCATCGATTAGTTCCATTGTACTTGACAAATTGTCTCAATGTGACTCTCGTTGTTAGTTGTCAAACATTAGAGTTAACACTGTTTAATCTGAGTTCTAAAATTACAAAAATGCGACATCTCTCAGTTTAAATAATAGTTAAAAAAAAAAAGAATTAAGACAACGAGAACATATAGTCCACGATACCAACCACAATTTTTTTTTTAATTTTGTTAATAATTATTTAAACTGGGAGGGGTGAGTTTTTTGTAATTTTCAGACTCAGATCAAACGATGTTAAGGTTAAAAGTCTGAAAACTAACGGTGAGGGCTACATTGAAACAATTTTTCAAGTACATGGAAGCAAATTGATGCAATCGAGAGTAGGATGAGGTAAAGTGATATGAAGACAAAGTACAAGACTGAAAATAGAATTTACCCTTATTTATTTCATATGATTTTGATTTTAGGGGTTATTATACAAAAGGCCCGTAGTATATTATTATTTCAAAATGAGACAAGTCAAATGCAGAATGGGTCAAAATCAGTATATAATTACTGGAGCCACCTTAATTCGTGTGCCGGCTCCGCTTGGAAATGATAGAAAATGACAGGTCAGCAAATGCTAGTTCCCACGTACAATTTCCGCGCCTCCATTTCAGGCTTCCCACGTGCACTTTGTGCTTGTTCAACAAATTAATTAATTTTCCTGATTTATTTATTGAGAAAATTATAATTTTGATCTTCTATGTTGGCCTATTTAGAAATTTAGTCATCATCTAACTTGTCATATTTGAGTTGTACGTGCAATGATTTTGCAAATATAGTATTTTTAGTCCTATTTTTTACGATTTTTAACTTTATGACGCGGCAAATAAACTTGACGCATTTTACTTTTATGAATGTTTGAGAATTTATAAATTCGACATATAACTTACCATTGGTAGAACTTTAATTATGTGAGATGACACGTCTATAAACCAAATCTAGGGGTGGAAATCGGACGGATCGGATCGGATTTAGGCCTTTCGGAATATTTCCGATTTTTTTCGGAAGTCAATTAGCCATTCCGATTCCGATTTTTTCGGAATTTAAAAATGAATTCCGATTCCGATTTTTTCGGAAATTTCGGAAATTTCGGAAAATCGGAATTTTTCGGAATTTTTCATTTTCGGAATTTTCGGAATATTTTCGGAAATTTTCGAAATATTTTCGGAAATTTTTGGAATATTCAGATTTTCCAAAAAAAAAAATATTTTTTTTCAAAATATATCATTGAATGAATAATATTAATAATAATAAAAATTAAAAAAAAAACCTACTTCATCATATAGACAGACACACAGTATACCAATACTAATAACATCAACAACAAACCTGCTTTCTTGATGAAATTAACTTATAAAAAAAGAAATAAAGGGAACAAGCATGCCTAGGTTCAAAATACCAACAATACAACACCTAATATACATCCACATAGAATCACTCTCCAATTTTTCTCAATTGTTAATGAGCGATGATTTACGGGAGAGAGTAAAGGGCTGGTGCAGCAGCGCAACGTGAGAGTGAGAATGAATTAGGGTTTACATCAGTACATGTTTTGAACCTTTTAAATATAAAAATAAATAAAAAATTGACTATATATAATAATTAATAAATGTTAATAATAATCGGAAAATATCGGAAATAATCGGAAAAAAATCGGAAAAATCGGAACTAATTTCGGATCGGAATTCGGAAATTCCAAAATTTCAATATCTAGTTCTGATTCCAATCCGATTTTTTTCGGAATTTTCGGAATTCGGAATTTCGGAATTCGGAATTGAAAAAACCGTTCCAAAATCGGAATTATTCGGATCGGATTCGGCGGAAATCGGAAATTTCGTTCCGATTTCCACCCCTAACCAAATCAGATGAGCATTTGGAATTTTTAAGTGTCCATATAAATAAATTTTTGTGATTTTATTAGGTACATCATTAAACGACGGCTAAAATTCAAAGTTCGAGTGAAATATGACTAAAAAATACTAATCTTTGCATAATTATTGCATGTAAAATTGAAATAGGACCAACTTATAGGACTAAATCCCTAAAGAGAGCAATATAGGAAAAAACACACACTAAAATTTCCTTCATATTGGTTTTTTCATTTTATGTATGAGATCGAGGCAATGTTTGGATTTATTTTGGGTGTTATTTTGGGATTTATTTGCAAAAATATATTTTGAGGGAATAATTTGAAAATAAAAGTCATGTTTATTTATAATTTTATATAAAATAAAATACATTGTCTTGGTCAAATCATAAATGTGTTGGGAAAGTGTATTGTATAAGAAGAATTTAAAAAATAAAGCGACATTTGCTTATTTTTTAAACCGACAACTTAAAAAAATATCGTGATATTCGTTATCGCAAACTAATATTTTGTCATTATTAACCTTATCGATAACAACTAAAAAATGATATACTTTCTATAAATAAATATAATTAGTGAGTCTTCCAACTAAAAAATGATATACTTTCTTTTACCTTCGTTTTCCAACCAGAGTATTTTCCTTCTCAAACGTGTGCAGATTACATTGCCATCTTTCATATTTATCATAAACGCTTCTTATATTTAAATGATAGTCTAATCAAATTGCACCGCTCATTCAAATTTATTGGAAGATTAATATCAACCATATAAACAAATTAAATTTAATTAAAATTGTGACATAAAATAAGTATTCGTTTTATATCTCGTAAATAATGGTTTAGCGGTTGAAGCAAATTGAGTTTGTGTCAATTGACCTAAATTCAAATTCTTTTTTCCACGGTCGATGTAACTTGTCACACATAGTTATTCCAGTGTGCTTTACGTGTTTCGTACCTATTCTTATGAATCCAAGTGGATATTATATTAGTGACTTAGTTACAACTTACAATTATTTGACCAAACCCCACGAATAAGGGAATGAATAGTGGTGGTTTGGAATCATTCATAATAATAAAATAAAAAAAAATAAAAAAAAAATCACCCCTTGAATTTCTTTTTACAAACATTGACGAGATCTTGTTAGAAGATTGGACAATTTGAAATCATGTCCATTTCAAGAATATTATAATAATTGTTGATAATAAAAAAACAAACTACTTATTAATTGAAATGGCATTTTAAATGACAATGAAAAAGTTAAACAAAGTTATCTTTTCCTTAATTTAATTCAAGAAATATACATTTTTTTAGTATTTATTTTTGGAAAATTGTAATAATTGACATCACCCATTTTACCAATTCATGTAATTTACAATCTATTCCACTAATAGTACAGATTCTTTTCATCATATTGCAAAACCAAGTCCCTCAAAATCCCACATATTCTGAATCGGTCCTTTTCACGTTTTCACAAGACACCATTCTATTCCAAGTTCCAACCCTCATCTTCTACAAAATTTACCACTTTGCCACTCCCTTACAATCTGATGAAATCTACTCCGTTAAATACTTGTTCCACCGGGGGCCCCACGTAATTTCCACCGCGTGCCAGACCTAATTCAGTAATTTAACTTTTTATTGCAACCCGCCGAATATATAGAGAAAGTAGACGACTATCGTGGATGCCCAGAAGCTGTGATGCGTGGACGCTAATGGCGGTAGGAATGGCCGGATCGCCTCGTAAACGGCGCCTCTCTCCTTCACATCTCCCCGTGATTTTACACTTTCGCCTTTGCCCATCCGATTTTAGCTTCCATCTGCTCTTAGAACCCTAACCGGATTTCGAGTTTTTCTTTTTTCTGTATTGATTTCCGTTCTCCAGGTTCGGATTCATCTGTTAGCAGACCTGCATTGTATTCGTGTTTGTTTTGTTTTAGGTTTTCAAATTTTTTTTTTTTAAAATTGCGCTTGATGATCGTTTATTTGACTTGTTATTTGAACTGTGTTAATTTGAGTTGGATTGTTGTGCATGTGGATGGCGTAGGATTGACGAATGGCGGCGGCGGAGGGGTTGTCGAAGCTGCTATACATAGTGGTGGTGGATGATGATGGAGCGGCGGCGGCGGCGGAGAAGAAGAATTCGTCGTCGTTTCGGTACACGCGTTCCGTTCTCCAGAGTACTCTGCAACTCATGGGTTGTAAGGCTCGTCACGCCTTCAAGGTTTTCTCTTTCCCCAGATTCCTTCTCTAAAGTTTTCTTTTAATTACTACTTCACATCTAAGAGTATGCATCTGCTTTTTAACTTACTTGCATGTTCTTAAAGATGTGCACGCTGTTCTTGCGGCAGCGCGTGCGCATGATAGTCTTTGCCTCCATTTCTAGAACATCTAATTTGGGGTTCATTGCCTAATTGCGGATATTAGTACTGTTTACGCACTCGATCTGCAATAATTTTGTAGTCCTGTAGTCAATACCTTCGATTTTTTTGCTTGTGTTTCTGTACATTTCATATTAGTTTCATAAATTCCTTTGATATCTGAGCAATAGAAACATTTTTTTCACCTCCTAACGAAAATAGTGAAATACTGCTGCCTTTTCTAGTTATAAACTTTTTTTCAGGAGGAAATATAGATGTCTTCATATGTCTGGGTTATTTCTTATAAATTCGAAAGTGATCTGGTTATTGGCTCTGAGTCTGAGTTCCCGTGTGGTTGATGCGGATTTATAATTTTTGGATCTGTGACTTTTGTAAGCGATTGTGAATATCTGCAGGTTTGATGATTTGTATAGAGTATCTTGTTTTTAGTAATTGGAATCTTAACAATTAATAGGTAGCAATCTCCTGAAGAAACTGCTGAAATATAGAAAAAAATAAATTGCACTGCATTTAGTACTAGAAGGGTCTTGTTTTCCAGAGTAGGAAATATGTAATGACCGTACGCATCTGTACAAGTTCTGTTATGGCATCATGATCTTTTTATTCATATTTATTTTGCATACATCATTTACATCCATTTTTAAGTCCTTTCTAATGCCAAGTCCTTCAATTCCTGTCGTGCAGATTAGCCAAAGGGTATTTGAAAGAATGAGGCTCGAGTGCTCGGTTGAGAAGTTGGTCTCAGAATGTATAGATATGTCATTGCAGGATGCTAAAGTATATCCTCAAAGGGATACTGACTACTTGGACAAAGAAAATGTTAATCACTTATCTCAAGAGGGAGATGTGAGTAAAAGCAAACCATTTGAATTGTACAAAAGACGCACCACAACGTTTGTTGGAAGAAAAAAATTTCTAGATGTTGTATGTGAAGCTCTCTCGGAATACAAGTATGTGGGGCCAAACCAGAAGGCTGATCTAGTCTTAGCTTGCAGGTAAGAGTTGGCAACATGCCCATCTGAAACTATTTTTGTTTCTAGGTCATAATTTTTTTTAACTCTACTTGTCCTGTAGCTGATGGTTGATGTGTTGAATTCTTTTCTAAGTCTATCAACTTTTATGTTATGTGGCTGATCATTACTGTTGTTTATCTTTCTTGTTCTATTACTTGTCCGGTCAAATTGCTGTTCTCATTTCTGGGACAAATTGACAAGCAGTTTCTGTAGAAGTTTTTGGAAAAAGGAGAAGTCATTTTGTTTTGTGGAGTGCGGTTAATCTAATATTATTCTCTTGGTAACCTTTAGCAATTCCAAAATGATGCTTTAACATAGCATCTCATTCGCTTTTCAATCGTTTCACAAGTATCGGCTCTTACCTACCTGTAGAAGCAAAAAGGGTTTTTCAATATCTATTAAGTGTTGATGTTGTAGTTCTAGTTGCTTCTCAGGGTAATAGCTCACTTTACTTTGTTGTTTTTTGTGTTTCTTAGTATGTCTTGTTCTTAAAATATCAAAATATTCTGATGAAGGAACTTGCTTCATTTTGCTCTCTAAGTTCTCCTTGGTATTTCAGAATCAGAGAAAGAAAGGAATCTGTGACTGTGTTACTCTGTGGCACGAGTGGCTGTGGAAAATCTACTTTATCCGCCTTGCTGGTGGGTTTTCCTGGTTACTTCTGTTTGATTTGCTTGGGTGTTGGTTTATTTATTCAGTTTTCTATTCAGTCAGAGTATTTGGGTACTCAAGTAACTGTTTTTATTTTATAAGTTTTAGTTTGGTTTCATCGTTTATCTTCATAATATGTCTTCCATTTTTATAAGTTCCATGGTCATTGAGAACCACTTACATAATAGGTGATGTCTCTGAGTTCTCAAATGTTCTAAATATCCCTGTCCGTTGATAGTATTTACCTCTGTTTGAGTTACAGACTTAAATCTGTAAAAGCACTTTGCCATATTTGGCTGGTTAATATGTGGTCCTGGAAATATTTGGTCTTGAAATCGAGCATTATTATTGCAGGGTAGTAGGCTGGGTATTACAACTGTTGTATCTACCGATTCAATTCGCCATATGATGAGGAGCTTTGTTGCTGAAGAACAAAACCCACTACTCTGGGCTTCAACTTATCACGCTGGTGAGTATTTAGATCCAGTTGCAGTGGCAGAAGCCAAGGCCAAAAAGCGGGCCAAGAAATCAGCAGGCATTCCTGCTTCCTCACTGGCTAAGAATGAAGTGCTCGGTAATTCCACTACTGGAAAACCTGAAGGCAATGCAACCACCACTGATTTGGTCAACCCAAAGCAAATGGCAGTAGAAGGATATAAAGCACAAAGTGAGATGGTAATTGATAGCCTCGACCGGTTGATAACTGCCTGGGAAGAACGAAAAGAATCAGTTGTGGTGGAGGGTGTTCACTTGAGCCTCAATTTTGTGGTAATTATTCATGCCATTTGTTCTTGGGAATTTTTGAGTTGATACACGGTGGACTGATTTACTGATTTAGCTACAATTTTATTGTCACGCAGATGGGACTAATGAAGAAACATCCTTCCATCATACCTTTCATGATTTACATATCAAATGAGGGGAAGCACTTGGAAAGATTTGCAGTTCGCGCCAAGTACATGACTCTAGACCCCGCCAGAAACAAATATGTTAAATACATTCGGAATATTAGAACGATACAAGAATATCTATGCAAGCGAGCTGATAAGCATCTGGTGCCGAAAATAAACAACACTAACGTTGACAAAAGCGTAGCAGCTATACACGCAACTGTTTTCAGCTGCTTGAGAAGGCGCGAGGCGGGTGAGAATCTCTACGATCCAATCACAAACACGGTTTCTGTAGTTGACGAGGAGTACAGAAATCAGTGTACTGCCAATTCGTTGTGCGTCGAAGGAATGCTTCAGCTGATTCGGCAAACCTCCAGTAGGCATCTGATGGCACTTGTGAATCATGATGGTTATGTGGCGAAGGCTTGGCCAGTTGACATTGTAGATGATAATGGAAAGGCAGTTTTTGGCGATCCTATGTGGAATGGAATAGGACCACCTCTTTACGGGCCATTGCATATAGGCGAATCGGAACCTGTGAACGTGCATTTTGGTCACTTTGGGATGAGTTCTTGGCCAGGTGAGACTGGCGGCACTAGTCATGCCAGCAGTGTGGACGAGTCAAGAGGTGAGCTGACTGACAATGGCAGTAGATACGTTTCATCGTGCTGCAGCTCGCCTAGGATGTCTGATGGGCCTGCTAAAGAGGTAACTTCAAGAGTTCCTATCGTATGTATTTCCTATGAAGTTTGTTAAAATATAGTGAAAGTTTAATCAGTTATATCTTTCATAATATATATGTTGTGTAAGTGCTAGAACATAGGATTTTTTTTCTATATGTGCTCCCTTTTACTCTTTGGTCCCTTGCTGCGCTTTTGCAGCGCAAGGAAGAGCAGTCTGTGCATGGTAGTGACGAAGAAGTTGACGAGCCGCTGGAGTTAGACAGTGATGAGGATTTTAGTGATGGACACGAGCATCTCCAAGAAGAGGTAAGGACGTGCCCGTTTGTTTCGATTCGGTTTAAACGTATACGTAATGAGAATTACATTTGGTTGGTCACACTATATATACATACCAAAATTGATAAACTTAATGTTTTGTTTGTATATCACAATTTTTGAAAAGTAATTTAAAGTTTCAGTTGGAAGGCTCTGTGGACGAGGAATCGACAAAGTCAGACGAGGAGTATGACGATCTTGCCATGCAGGATGTACCAGATAGTGGCTACATGTATGACGACAATGATGAACAGTTGAACAATAACACAAATTCCAATGATGTGTTCCCTGTTTCAAAAGACAAATTGGCCGATAAAAACGAACTTCATGGAGAAAATCACCTGCAAAATCTCGACTTGTTCTGCAGAACTAAAAGCGAATCTTTGTCTGAGTCGAACCACCAGTCGACGATTCGCCCTCTTACGCCTCCCCTCAGGCATAAAAGCGAGAGGAGAGCGGCAACTTTTGGGAATTTTAGACTGAGAAAACGTTCGCTGAGCATGCATCAATAACCTTTAAAGAAGAAGAACGAGTTCCGTTGAGTTTCTCATATTCTCTGTCTCGTCTTTTAACATCGTTACTGTATTCTCTTTGAGAGTCTTTTCTTCCTTGTGCAGCTTTGACCATGTTGTTAAACTATTATTCAACTCTCTTTTGTGCATAGCATATATCTTTTTTTCTTGAAGCTCCTTTTTTCCTTTATGTTTTCTGATGTACTTGGTTAAACGGGGTCGCCGCCCCCGAACCCCCGTATTACTTAAATGCACTTTTTACTATTTTGCCCCTGGCCTCCAAATATGCCCGACTCGGCGACTCGGCCCTGGCAAATAGTTAGTAGTAATTACTATATATGGCACTTAACAATGCCCTGTAGATGACTAAGTCCAAGAAGGGGTCCACATGCACCTTTTGGCTTTCATATTTGGCTAAAAATTGACCCATTTTAATTTTGAAAACATATCTTTTAAAAACAAAAAGTAATTAAATGGTCCTCCATTTGAATTACATATTTTTGTTGCTGTCAATATACAAACATAACACATGCTTGCATGCATGGCATCTTGGACCACCTACGCAAATTCAATTAGGACCAGCTGCCCTTTTTTTTTTGTTTTCACTTTACAGCCATTTCCTACAAATCGGGTGTTGTCATGTAAAGAATAACGAGTACAACAACTCGCCGACACCGCAACTCGTATACATTATGATTCATTAATTTACGAGCCTTCTCGTTCCAGCTATTGTCTGAGTGACCGTGAGTGATGGTTTTTGAAGCCAACTGTCTATAACATGCATCATCATCGAACAACTTGTTACGGTTACATCCTTTCGCCATATATATGCTGTTTTGTGTCTGTGGGGTTGGCTCATTCCTCTAGTATGTATTACTAAATAAATATATATAACTGGCAAGCAGATTGCATGATTTATACATACAGCAAGTATCGAGATATATATTAATTAAGTAGATTTGCGAAATATAATTAGCTAGGAGCGGAACTCACGGTTGAATCATCATCAGTGTTGTCAAAGTACTGAAAAAACTGGTACTTAGTATACAACCACTACGCATGCCCCCGTTAGTTACTTTGAATATCGAGAAGAAAAACGAATTTATAGACCAAGAACTTAACGAAGCTGCAGTGGTAATTAACTATTAACAAAGCGAGCACTTAATTAATTGTATTAAGAGCTGAGAAATAAATATGTGCAAATGCAAGTTGCAAGTATTTTTGAAAATAGTATAGTAGGTCCAACTTCCAAACAAACATATGGTAATGAATAATTGTCAAGAACATAAATACACCCAACCATGCCACTCATACATTAACATCATATATATATATATGCATACATGTCTTGTACCATAGTTTTAATTTTGTTCAAACTAAGCTACACTAGCAAAAATTAATTTCAGGCATATATATACATATTTTGACAAACATGTTTCGATTCGAATAAATCTTAGCTTTATATAGAGCTAGAAATTAGTGAAAAATGAATTGTTCTTTCTCACCTCTGACTAGTCAATTTTTGGGTAACCATGAGTAAAATAAAATAAATAAATAAATAAAATTAAAAGATTCATGGTAAATTTTTTGGGTAACCATGAATATTAATAGAAATGTAAAAGGGGTACCATAAAAAGGTAAAAAACATGTTGTTGGCAGAAGAATAACGACATAGCTCGTAGTTTAATCATCTGCAGAGCCAAACTTCAATCTCTCAGTACCTGACATACATATATATATATATATATATATATATATATATATATATATATATATATATATATATATACAACTGGGAGACAGTAATTTTTTGCCCTCTTCACTCATAAAAATTACCTCTGAACAAATTACACAGTTTCTTTGCTGCTAGTCGTTTATTGCCGATGCAGCATCATCAAGATTCTCACCGCATAAAAAGCTCCGGGAGAGAGAGAGAGAGAGAGAGAGAGATCTAGCTCACAGGCCACCGTGCTTTTTTGATGCATGTGTATTCTTGATGATGCTACACCAGAAAACAACGACTGTGTGTGTATCTATGTATGTATATATATATATATATATATATATATATATATATATATATATATATATATATATATATATATATATATATACACACATATATGTGTACAGCTAGATCCCTAGATGAAATTTAACAAGATTTGCAGAGAGAGAGAGAGAACACAATTTGTGCTACTATATATGAACATAAGCACGATCTGGAAAGTATAACATAAAAAGGATGCAAGAAAGTGTGTGTGTGTGTGTGAGGGAAATTGAAGTTGCAGTGTGGACCTTTCGAATGAAACAAAATATAATATCAGAAAAAGCCCACGAGGTTGAGGCTGACGTGGCATCTCACCATTGGGCAGAATTTCAAAGAGAAGCATGACCTGATTGTGTGATGTGCCACTTAAATCAACAATTTTCTTTTTTTCAATCACACAATATTTATTAAATATAATTATATAAAAACCAAAACAAAAATAAGACACAGGCCCCCCTATATATTTCATACATGAAAATCAAAGAATTAACCTTATCTTATCTGGGTGTGGGTGGATTTATCTTATGAATAATTAGTGTACTTAATTAATTACTCCATCAAAAGGATAAAAGTATAAAGATATATAATATCATGGACTGATTAATTGAACCCACCAATTAGGCCACTTGATCATACTAATTCTGATATATATATTATTCGCTATATATATGACTATATTTCATGATTAGTTTGAAAACCCTAATTCTATCTGTGGACTCTCTCTATGGAACCATTAAATTATTATTATTATTTTTAATACAAAGGAACTTATGAATCACACGGAGGTGTAAATAGCACCGAACTTGCTCCGTGTGACGAGTTTTGATGGCAAGGTGATCGAACTCGAATCGTTAGACCCCTGAATACAAACTGTAATAATATATTACATTATGATGACGAAGTTTATCCAGTCTAGTGCAATTTGAAAGCACTGAATATATGGTTCTACTGTCAATTATATTATAATATTAATAATAATAATAATAATAAAAAAGCATGAATAAATATTATTAGGAGATCAAAATGATATGATGACAATTAGGTCACTAATGATTTTGTAGGGACATGCTATCCAAAGGGCCAAATTGAAGATGTAACGTGAAACTGATCAGTATTTGTCTTTTGGAATCCTAGACCTACACTAATTAATTAATTAATTAATTAATTAATACCAAGAACTCAAACTAATTTAATATCCTACAAAATTTTCTTATTATAAAATTTCGATATATAAATGTGTAAAAGAATATGCTTTAGTTAAATATATTAAAAGGTGGAGGTGAGAGGGAGTGTATTAAATGAAAGAAAACAAAGTAGGGTATAAACCTTTGTGGATTAATGCAACTTTATTTATTTATTAGTTGTTGAGGTTTGGGCTTCCAGGTGCCGACCACACTAACTTGTCTCTGTGGATTTGTGATTTTTTTTTAATTAAATAAATTGGTTTAAGACAATAATTGTAATGAATTGTTTATACATTATTCAAGACTGAAAATAATATTTTTGAAAGAAAAAGTCTAGATACAAAATCTATTAGAGAGAGAGAGAGAAAAAAATAGTACTGCATTAATTATTTACTTATGCGTAATCAAAATAGCCATCTTCTTGTCAATGATCGCTAGATCGAGCTTGTCACACATGGTTATCCTAGTGTGGTTTAAGTCTCTCGTATGATTTGTAAGTTATTGTACGAGATTATATGTCTACTAATAAGTGCACTGCTATGATTGATTGCGGATTTCTTCGTTACTAAAAAAGAAAAATAGGCATCCCCGAAAATGAACCGGAAATAACATTTAAATTAATTATTAAACACCAACGCCCACAGAAACAAATAAATAAAATACAATAAATGATAGGGGTCTTTAGCAATAAACCCCTTGGATGAATAATAAATGGTGATATATCCAACCCTCAAATCTTTCTTTGTGATAACCCCCTATAAATATAATTTCCAATACTACCCTTCTAAAATTATACATCTTATAC